GAAATAAGCTTCCAAAAACACACCACTGAAAAAGATATGACATGCAAACTATCCAACTGTTCCTCAGGGCTTATTGTAAAAACACTTAAAAAAAGGATCTCAGAATCAGGAGAAAAAAAATATAATCTAAACTTCATAAAAGCACTTAAACTGAAGGCAGTATTTCTAAATTCATTTAAAAAGAATATCTAAAATAGCAACATTCAATAATTTCCTCTATTAATTCTGATCAAAATCCACCTCCTCATTGCAACCATGTATTGCATCAACTTCTTCGTCCGTATCACTATTTTTTAATTGCTTTCCCCTTTCACCGCTCGCAATGTCGTTCGTCATCTCAACAACGCACACCTTCCACCCGAACAGGCCAGATTCACAAAAGACAAGTTCTCCGGTATCTTGACTTCAGTGAATGTTCGATCCACCTTATTCAAGAAATTCTCCAAGCTATAATTAAAATTTGAAAACCACAAAAAAAAAATATGGTGTCATCAGCACTAAGAAGGCTTTATACAGTTTACAAGTTAATATATTCACTACTTTTCTTTGCTACCGTTAAAGCCTAAAAAAGTATGGAAATTATGAAATATAACGAAAGAACAGAAAACTGATATAACAAACCAAAGCAAAACATATGGACAACTTCTTAAAACCGGGAATAAACAGTCACTGAAATTTTTTTTCGTGCACAACCGATCAATTGATAGTGAGCCACGTAAAAATAACAATGACACCCCTAAATCATTATAAGCCAAAAATCTCACTGCTAAATCCAAACAAAAATCATTAGTAATCCGAAAACTATTAAGTGGAGAATCAGAATTTGAAAGCTGCAGTAGAGGAATAGTGATACACTTCAATTACAATAAATAAAGAAGATTCTCAGATAATTAACCATGGCTGGCCGGTGAAGAAAACAATTTCAAAACTCCTCATAAACAGAAAATTAATATTTCTGTCCTTCGCAGCTGTTTCCAAGCGTAACTCTTACTCGTTACGAGAAAAACACAGCCACCCCAAACGAATAAATCCGTTTATAAAGCCCCTGTGAACTCTTTCAGCAACCTACTTCACTAAATATCGTAAAAGTGAAGCCATAAAGGCATCAAGGGTTAATCCGGCTCAAAATGTTTCGTAGCTAACCGGTCATCTATAGCTGGATTTCTACCACTTTGCACCGGCAAACCAAAAAATACCTTCCAAAACAAAAGTTCGTATCAAAATTTAACTTTGTGCTTAATGCATACTGATTTCTTGCCATCCAATTTTTTCACCTCCTAAATCACCTACTGTTCACTCGTACACAAGTTCTTTTGTTGTGCGCCTCCATAATCATCCACAATGTTAAATCATCAGTGAATTCTGTAACGTCAGGATAACAAAATGTTCCTTTTAAACAACCTTACCGTGCAAATGCGTCTCATTATGTGTATTCTACTAATGTACTCGAAATAGGGGTCGAGGAATGAAAAAATGACGTTAGCAGTTACTTCAAGTTTATAAATGAAATCCAGCTATCAAAACCCAGACTCTTAAAGCAATAAATACCTGTAACGACATTCTTATCAAGAAAATGTATTTTAAACTATGAGAATTTAGAATAAGCACCAACCTTCTGTCCAATAAATAATCCATGATGTACTAATACCCAGAAATGCCCCTTCAGAAAGTCCAAGTACAAGAAATAACTTTAAAAAAAAGAAGTCTATTCAGCAATATCCAATCAGAACAGAAATAGTGCGAAACTACAATCCTAATTAGCAGACAGTTTTAGAAGTTCTGCGTAAAGACAGCTTTCTCCCAGAACCCACTCTCGTCAGCTTTCTTTCCATCTGCTACCCAACGCATTTGTCGTTAACATACTTAAAAACTTCTTACAAAACACCACCCACAAAATCTTATTTGAATAGAGAAAGTAAAATAACAGTAAGCACAGTAGCCTTATTATGCAACCTCAAGAACTAAATACTAACAACAAGCTCATTTAAAAGAAGCTTGCTTTCAAAGTACAAAGATTTCTATTGCAACACGAACGTTTTTTTAAAGAAAAACTCAAACTTCAGAAACTTATTATCTCAACACAAACACCCAGCCAAGTGGTGACAGAAATCCCAAGCCCAAGAAAACGCCATCACAAAACAACGTATTAGAACTTTTCAACTTCCTAGCGAGTTTATGACCAATTATGATGAATTCAGTAATTATAAATAACATCGAGAAACACCATTCCTACGTCACAGAACCAACCTCTTCCAGCTTTCAGAAATAAAAAATTTGCGCAAATTAACGCTTAAAAAAACTTTCTTCGTTACAAAGACAACTTAATATACTAATATGATGACTCAAACCCTGTTATAACAGAATTGCCCTACAACGATAAATCTCCAAGTCATACACCTAATAGCTGCAGACGCCCTTTAACTGTCGTTTAAAACATGCTCTATTTTAGAAATATTTCCCTAAAATGAATGAGAAGCCTCTAAAATAAAAAGTCACTTTCTAATACCTGATCAGTTCATTATCGATAGCATTCTTTTAGTAAAATAAATCTTTGCTATCACAGCAAAGAAAAAGAGAGACAATAGTAATACTAATAATAATAATAGTAATAGTATAATGATAATAATAGGAACAATAATAATAATAATAGGATAATAATAATAATAATAATAATAATAATAATAATAATTACACCGATAATAACAATTACAATAAGAATGATAATAACAGTTACAGTGATGACATTAACAACATCAATAATACACCTATATTAAGAATAACAAAAATAACAATAACCGTAACAACAACAGTAACGACTGTAAAAAAATAGATAAAAACAAAAACTGAAATGGAAGCAAAAATAAAGGCAAATGCAAATGGGAATTACAATAAATAAAAAGTGAACAAAAAGTAAAAAAAATAAACCATAAAATAACGAAAATAAAGATGAACGCACATTAGCACCATTAACCGTATTAACAAGAGCGTAAACTCTTGGTAACTTCACCAAAACCACAAATGACCAAGTGTCGGATTTTAGATACCAAAAACTATGTAAAAATAGATCATCGAGCTGAAAAACAAGCACCCAAGCAATAAACTGCTGTCGTCAGACATCCATCTAACAATAACCAAATGCTTAACGAAATTTTTTGAGAAGCACGGGAAATTGAAAAGACAAGTTGGTGCTTGATACTGTTTTGACGCTGCAAGACGCAAAACAGCATAGTGTTATTTGAATTATCGCTGCCAATCTTTGCAGCATTATAGTACAACTTAAAATCTTGCGAGATAGTTGCGATGTTCATAATCAATTCATTTTTTTTCAACTTGCTCATAGTTCATACATTTTTTAGACTAAACTTAGGTCAACCTATACAGAAATGTTCCGTTTCCTGCACATATTTCACCAGTAGTAAGATGAGTTTGTTCCGTTGCCAGAAAATAATTATTAGCCATATGCACATATCTGTGTTAAAAATATGCATCGTATTGAAGTACTAATTGCAGTCAAAAATTATCGTAATTTTCATCATGACAAACCAAAGATTTAATAAATAAAACTGAGCCTTCCAAAATTTTACTTCCATCATGTAAAATCAAAGAGGCAAAAAGAAGTCGAATGAAATATCAGCAATACAAAAAATCAAGAAGTGAAATCCGACTTATTTCTTGTCCCTCCCACGAAGAATGCGCACTACACCACGCCCGCGACCCTGACCACAAATAACGTCATCCCTTGCAAGCCTACCTTTGCTAACCTCCTCCGAAATAAAGAGTAAACCAGTTGTTCACTTACATAACATCCAGAAACAATTGAAATGAACGGAAAATATAGGCTGAATCACCTTGGAACAACTAAATAAACGCTTACAAAATGGCCTTTAATTTTAAGGATCAACCAGTACACCATAAAGAAAACAAAATGAAAAGTGAAAACAATGAACACCAATCCTCTGCATTAGCACCATTTTTGAAAAAATTTCTATAGCACTTTTGACACTTTACCTAACTTTTAATCAATTCGGAACGCCAGTACGAAACCCATCCATCCTTACAAAAATTCCATGCATCTGTGAACAGTTGTCAACAAAAGCAATTAAATAATTAATTTTTTTTCAATACTTGAACAAATTATGCACATGTTTGGGAACAAACATCAAAAATGTACAACATCAGCTTTAAAAAGGTAAAAACGAAAGGAAAAAGCACAACAAACAACCGCTACTGTACACCAACGGCGAAAAGCAACAAAACTACAGTAAAACAAAGATAAGGCATATATACTGCTGCATGAGATGGTCAAAGCCCTATTACAACAACTGCAGGTCCCATTCAAAAAACAACGCTCAAGCGTCAATATATATAGATAGACAGAGTAGCCTATTTTGTAAAAACGAGCTACTTATAAAGCTCTAAATTAAAAATGCTTGAGTGATCGACACAAAACTCCGCAAGTTAAAAAAGGAATTGAAAGTGTTCAAGTCTGAAAAATTTTTATTACTACCTGAGACCTATCCTCATACTTTGCTGCAAAAATCCCCTAACCAGAGTGATTCAGAAAAAAATCTAAAGTCAATCTTTAATAGCACAATGTCTGAAAAGTTAGCTAAAGAAACGAGCAAAACATGTGAAATTTTTAAAAAATGATTTTTTAAGTCCAATTTTTACAGCTAAAATTTCACTTTTAAACCAATCTAGAACCTATTTTACAAAAGTGTGTGATGCTCAAGCACTTTCACACAATTACAAATAATTTCACCTGTAACAACTTTAAACAAAATTCTTCAACAAATACTCAGCAAAGTGACAGCAGTACGAAACAACATTGGAACTATGGCACATTAAAGTAAGTGTATGATCATAGAGGTTAGAACAAAAAACAGCGCGCTACACTATTTACAGATAAGGTTCCAACGTTATTTCATACAAAAGTTTCGTACGAGGAACTCACAACAATTCTGAACAAAACAGAATTAACAGGTATTAATTTGGTACAACTATACAGCAGATTCGGGAGTGATTTTCAGCGCAAACTGTGACGTAAGCGACTGCTGCTCAGTAAGATTAAAGAATGGCAGTGAGTGTAGTGTACAAAGCAGTTGAACTCCAGCATTTTCGTCCTTCTGATGACTCCTCAGAACAAATACTGTTCCATTCCGGATGGCTGCGGATGCTCGGACGTTACACACTATAGACCACTTAGCCTCTTCTGGACGATCCTGAAAGGATTAAATGTGACAACTTTATATTCAAAAGGACATATACAGCAAAGAAAAAAAAAAGCAGATTGAAAAAGGCACAAAAACTAAATAACTTTTTAAAATGACAAACCGGGAATGGGAATCTTGAGGAGAAGAACCGCTGCAAAAATGTTGCTGCAGAAAACCGCAGCGACAAACACCGTGCCAAATGGGCTACAACTTGGTCGGCAGTGTGACGAGGCTGCTGCCTAGTTAGTTTCAGGTATTTATTTAAAGGACGTGCGATAGCTGAAAACACCGCTTGAGCAGCCCCTAGAGCTTCCATTGGTTCACCAAAAGCTTGCTGAAATCATCACATGAAGAAAATAAAGCAAGACAATCAACCAGTAAGCTAAACAGTAAGTTAAAGTTCCAGAGTTCATTTCTTGAAGAATTTTTCCAGAAAAAGCTTTGCCTAGTGAATACAAATACAGAGTACTACAAGCGACCCCGTGATTTGCTAAAGACCAAGTCATATAATATCAAATTAAAATCAAATTAATATAAACCTCCTAACGAATACTTCGTTACCCAGGACAGTATTACTAAAACTACTTATCAAAAAACAAACGATCGTTAACTTTCGTTGTCAAAAAAACGACAAAAGTGGCGGGTGAAACCAAGCCAAAAATCAGTTACCTGCAAGCATACAAAAAATATACCTTCTCTTGTTGGTTATTTGCTGTAATGCTTTGTACACTGGCAAAAGCATCTTCAGTCGCACTTATTAACCGATACTTCCTTTTCTGCACACGCCTTTCCCACTCCATAATTTCATGAAACCGTTCATTGTGTCCTCCAAGACGACGTTTAGCAGCTGCTTCCATCAACAAACGAGCATTTGACTCTGATATCGTACAATCCCCTAGTCCTTCTATGTCATACATTTTAAAGCCGGCAGAAACGTGGGAGGAACCTAAATACTTAGGGCAGTCGCAACTCTAATCCACTATTCGAAAAACTATTGCAGAAGTGACAACCACTACTTGGCAGGACTAAATCCATTACATTTCAATTAAATTTGGACTACTGAGATTATCACAACCTCACTAAACAAAGGTTCAGAAATTGATAAACAAACAAGAATTTAAATTTATGCGATCTAAGAGGAAAGTTCTTAGTAAAACAACAACTGCGTGAAAGAATCAATTAAAGAAAAAGATTCTTATAAGTAGCGCCTCCTAAAACGACATTAACAGATCTGCCAGTAGCATGTCTTCAGGCATTTAGGTCCATAACTATTACATAAAAGAAAATTAAAAACCTGAACGAAAACGAGAAATACCGCCATTGTTCTTATCCAAATAAGCGTTATAAGATGGAAAATGTGTGTAATACAAACGAAGCACGTGAACAGCTGCTTCCTGGATGCTCATAACACCAATTATGTAACTACGCGACTCACCATCAGGATCCCGTACAATGTCAACAATAAATTCTGGTCTATGAGATCGAAGTTCAAGGACAATAACAGCAATGTAGTGACAAAACATTAAAGCGTCAAGCAAATATTGTGCGAATTTGAGTGCCATTTTATAGTCACTATGACGTTCCAGTAAGATAGTTACAGCATAAAAAAGCCAAAACGCGAACAGTATGAATACAGCAAATAAAGTCAGGGCAGCTCGGTGTAGGTACAATCGGGGCATATCGGCAGGAGCTCTTCGAAAGAACATTACCCAGAGTGCGACAAGCAATAATAAAGATTTGACAGTTATATTAAACAAAAGTTCTTGGCAATCTTCTCTCCAAACTACCTGAAGACAAGAACAACATCCATTTAAACTCCAAAAAGCAGCAAAGTTTTTTCGAATAAAAAAAGCAACTATTACTAACCTGTTGCCAATCTCCATCTAATTGATGCAGAACTAACGGAAGGCTAGCCATGATAGGGGCAGACATGATAGAACAAAGGCAGATTAAAGAAGCGCTGCAAAGCCAAAACAGCCTTGAACAACGACGTACAACAACATGTCCGGCAGGAGCAACTATAGCACGATCCGCAGCGCCACTATAAGAATGCTCACTTGTGTTACCAGTAACTACAGTCGTGTTCTCTGCCCAGTTTTCTTCATCGCCGTTAACTTTAACACCCTAAAAGATAAACGCATTCAACCATCACTTTTTAAACAAAAATAGCTTATTAAATTTTGTTTCCAAACCTTATTCCTCTTTAAAAACTAATTTTTAAGTAAAAGATTTTTGTTGGCTTACGAATGCCTCTAAAAGCGTTCAGTACAGCTTATTTATTTCTCCGACTACCGAAAAATTTGACACCAAAATCAGTTTTTCTTTCATTGCGTACTACTCTTAGAGTACGGCTTTCCACAACTAGTGCAAAACAGAAAACCTAAGTAAGGTCAAAAGCCGACTTATTAGCATCGCTGGTCAGTAAATTATTTTGAACTTCCGTCACTTCGTTGAAATTTTCATTGTAATGAAATTTAATTCTATCCAAATGATTCTCTACTGGAAGCAAAAAAAAAATCTGGTTATATTAGTGGTAATGAATTATATCTTTTCGTCTTTTCCGCATACTGGCATAAAGAAGGAAACTAAGATAATTAAGTTAAATAAATCGTGAGACCCTTAGGTTCTGCCATTTTTTATTCACTTATGGTCTTTATTTGATACTTTTCAACTTAATTCATAGAACTTCCAACGACGACTAATAGTCCATTAAAGAAAGACACTGCCGGTGATATCTCAAAAGAAGCAGTTTTACCTTCTTATTTGCCAAATTCCCTTGATCTATAGTTCCTAAAATGGAAAGCTTCCCGCCAGATACAGCCTATAAAAACATGGAGTAGATGAATCTTAAAATCTATCGCGGAATACTGATTGCTTCTAACCTGGCCAGTGCCATTACCGTAGTGTAGCAAAAACGTTTCAAAGAAGGTAGCTCACAACAAAGCTGTTAGTTTAGCCAACGACATTTTAGTAACACTAACTCACTTTCATAAACCTAATGAAGAGATTCCTTCAACAATACGAACAAAATTGTAAATAAGCTAATTTAGCAAGACAGTAAAGAACTCGTTACAGACCGTAAACTTTTCATTGAACTATTTCATACACAATCGCTAAAGCCTATATCTACCGCTTTCAAGAGGAAACATCACAGATATCAAGAGAGAGAAAAGTCTACAACTTCTAGAAAGAATCACTTGAAAACGTAAACCATCAAAAAAGTCAGACGCCCCAATAATAGTTGTGGTTTAAGCACCTTCTTAGTGAACATAGCATGATCCTGTAGTTAAAAACTTTGTACAAAAAGCTTCAAAAAAACTAAGTCAGAAATGCACCTAGATAATATGCATGACAAATTCTTTCTTAACATCAATGACTACGACTTAAATCTGTTTGAAATACTTTCCAAAGCACAGTTTTAAGGATTTAACTTTCAGAGGCATTTAGCAACAAATTTTTGGTCATCTCAAGGAACAACTGAGTGAACATTAAACGAAATTCTTTAGAGCTATAAGGCATTTCTAAAAAATTCAGGAACTAAAACGAGAAAGCTCTGAAAAGTAAAAAATAAAAAAGAACTAACTGTAAAAATATCACGAATCACTACCTGTAAAACTAAAGCGTAAAAAATCATTAAGAGAAAGATAACAGCTTTTCACGTCAAATTCCGAAGAGGAGAACAATAAAATTGAAAACCCCACAAATGAACAACGCATTGTAGGTTTAGCAGGTTTAAAAAAAACCACTAAGAATACAAATATAACTAAAAAATTTTTGAAATATTCTTTAGAAAGTAATGTCGTATTATAGTTTAAATATACTCTAGCAATCAATATAAACCTCGCTAGCTGCAGCTGAAAACTGTGGTACTATAAAAGGACTAGTTGGGTCCCATCCAGCTCGTCCTCGCGAAAGGCTTCTAGGGGTCCGAGAAGGTCGATGTGACATCCATCGTCCAGAATTTTCTGATACTACAGACATAGCACCTTGAAAAGAAATACTCTAGTAGTCTTCCGACGTGCCAAAAAAAAAGACAATTCTTTAGATAAGCGTTTTATCTTACCAACGTCACCCTTATAAATACAGCAAAGGAAACGGGAAACGTAATAACATAGTTCATTCACCTAAGCAATAAAACTATTGAATGCCAAATTCGACCACAGATGTTTAATTAAAATAAAGTAGAAGTAATATGATCCAGTAGGATGAAACAATTGCCTAATATTAAAGAACAAATCATTTTTTGGTGTTTTGAAGTTGAGGCGATAAGCTTACCAATTACAGGCACCACTTCATCTGCATAAATAACATGTCAGAAGTTAATAGAATGAATACATTAGACGCTTTAAATCGTTTTTCATTCCACATATTCATCAAACCTTTCCATTTCTAAAGATTGACATAAGAAGAACCTCCCTCCCCTTCAACACAGAATTAGCCGTAAAAAACTCAAAATTTTCTTCAGACTCAAATGCACCAGTTTCAACAGTGTTAGAAAATTGAATATCAGATAGCTATCTAATTTTCTATACAATATAATAATTTCTTTGAAATGCTCATCTACAGTCATTCAAAGTTCTAAAGAATTTTAAAAAACAGCAACTTCAGAAGCGAGCTACGCCGTAGCAAAGTTTCTAGTCGTCATTAAAGGATTTATAAAACCCTTTCATAACGTCAAGTATTTAGCATCAAGATTAAGAAATCAATAAGACTTAAGTTTATCAGCCTCCTTCTGAGTAAAGATCGGAAAGAAAAAAAAATTCGTCCAAAACTCACCCTATTTTTCGCGAAAGCAATCTAAAAAAACCTAATTAATGCAAGCAAAAGTGCATCCAAATGACTTTTTTTTCAATAGGAAAGATGAAGAATACAAAGAATATTCAGAATAAACTTATATCGGTATATAATATTAGCATTAAAAAATATCTCAACAGTTTTATAAGTATTAAAACAAAAACAAATTTACAAAAAAAAAAGACTGAAAAAATAAATATTTTTGTACCTATGCTTATAATAAAATAAAATTGTCAACGACCAATGCTCAAAGCGAAAGGAAAAACGGTAGTAAACTATCGGTAATTTTGGCGTCACATCCACAAAAATAAAAAAAAAAAAGAGAAAAAATTGCGAAAAAAAAACGAAATAAAATAAAAACGACGACATAAAGAAAAAAGTACACAGGTATAAAACATCTCTTCTTCTTCCATCAAAAAAGCTCAGTTCAAAACAGTTTATAT